GTACAAAATTATCTTGTGTGTAAACTAAAATGTGTATAAAATTATCTTGTGTCTAAACTAAAATGTGTATAAAATTATCTAGTAAACTCACGACATTCAGTAGTAAATTATTTTGTCGTGATGCAAAAAATCGGTACACAATTTATGATGCTGTTGAGACACTAAATATGTGCACACATATGTTGAGACGACACTAAGACATGCGTCCAGTATTCACTAAAATATGTGCAAACATATGTTGAGGCGACTCTAAGATATGCGTCCAGTATTCACTAAAATACAGTACTGGTGGATGTATGTTATGAGAGTGTAAGAGATTACCATGATCCCGACTACTGGCTCAACGTTTACTTAAGACTGCGGGATTAGTGGGCTGTTCTATATTACTTTTTCATTGTAGGACATTTGACATTATAGACCATTATATACTACACTCCATTTTACAAGCTTATATTTAGTTCGCAACGTCTGTTTGTTTGTGGGTTTGTGGCAAATCTTGTAACATTATAGATTATTTGATTGATACTACCTACCGTTTGACATTATAGACCATTTGACATTACATACTGTTTTACATTATAGACCATTATATATTACACTCAATTTTACAAGCTTATAGTTAGTTTGCAACGTCTGTTTGTTTGTTTGTGGGTTTTTTGGCAAATCTTGTTACATTATAGATCATTTGATACTTTTATATATTTAAGACAAACTGACATTACGTCATGTTTTAATTCTGCTTGACTACCTGGAGAAAATTAGGTTAAAATATTCCCACCGCCCCCTCCCCCACATTGCCGTCACATATCAACTAATTTTTTTCACCTGCCCAGCCGTATTAATAACTAGCACAAAACTTCCATATTAGGAACACGCTCCGGCGCTCCTTATATTTTTAGCCGGCTGAAAGAAAATTCCAACTGGCCTGCCATTTTCAAGTTTTACAAATACACAAATAGTATACGGAGTTGTGGGTACATGAAGAAAGTAATTTCCCCTTGGCGATGCACTTTAGCCTAGTTCCCACTCGGTAGGATCGCTACAGTACATAAGGACGTACACGATTTGAATGTCTCGACTATGATTCATATGTGGCTACACATACACGCACACCTCAGGTCGTCACCGCTCTAAGACATACTGTCAGGATATCTTATTTAGGTTGGTGTCAGTCTTTCTGTGTTGGGCTGACTTTTGGTGTTTAGCTGAAGTGTCAGTGTTTAGCTGAAGTGTCAGTGTTTAGATAAAGTGTCAGTGTTTAGCTAGTGTCAGTGTATAGTTACAGTGTCAGTGTTTAGCTAGTATCGGTGTTTGGTGAAGTGTTTTTTTAGAAGTGTTTTCAGTGTTTAGCCGTATATATTTCACTTAAAGATTTTAATCAATTTCTTACATAATTAAGGTAAGCCCGGCTCTATGGTTTTTTAAAATTACAATTTGTAAATTGATTATTGGCACTTGTACCGTGTGACGCAATTATAAATCGATTATTTGCAATAGAACCACGTGATTCAAGTTTTATGTAGAGACAGCCGGAGGAAGAGGCTTAACATTAGTTCGTCATTTTGCAAAGCAGAAGATTTTAATGGAAGCTCCCATAACGTCAGATGTGTATTTTGGAGTGGTTACGTGTGTGTGTGTGTGGAGGGGAGGGGGTCATGGCACCAAACGGTAAATATAATACCGACAGTACCGCTTGCATAACTACCCACTACGGCAGTGTTATTTATATCATTCACCCCCTACCCCCCCCCCCCCCACTGAACCCCATTGGTAAGGTCTGAGTTAATCAATTCGTGATGTAGACATCTCGACCATTTTGGCTTATAAACATCGATCCCTGTCTTGACTCATGTCTGATCCCATATGAACCCAATTTTTTAGGCTTGCAAACCCCGACCCCTCTGACTACTGACTCTCTCTTCTCTGACCCCCATGACCCCTGTTTACACTACTTGAGGTTAAAGCTCAAACGTTTCTCAAAACTTGGCCTACATTTACTCGAAAAATCAATCACGCGTTGTCATTAAACGCTTGACATGTCAACCTTCGATTTCTATGAGTATCGATTCTATTTTTAAATGATCGATTTTAGTCAATTTTAATGGTGTTGGGGTTTAGTTTGTAATATATTTAGATTTGTTTAATGTCATAGATTTTTTTTTACCGTCAACCACAAAAAATATTGACAAATGATTAGTTGTTTTTGTTAGGCTTCAGTGTGTCGTGTTGGTCAGTGTGTCGTGTTGGTCCGTGTGTCGTGTTGTCCATGTGTCGTGTTGGTCCGTGTCTCCTGTTGGTATGTGTGTCGTGTTGGTCAGTGTGTCGTGTTGGTCCGTGTATCGTGTTGGTTCGTGTGTCGTGTTGGTCAGTGTGTCGTGCTGGTCCGTGTGTCGGGTTGGTCCGTGTGTCGTGTTGGTCCGTGTGTCGTGTTGGTCCGTGTGTCGTGTTGGTCTGTGTGTTGTGTTGGTCCGTGTGTCGCAGTGGTCACTCAGTGTGTTGGGGTGGTCAGTGTGTCGTGTTGGTCCGTGTGTCGTGTCGGTCCTTGTTGGTCCGTGTGTCGTGTTGGTCCGTGTGTCGTGTTGTCCATGTGTCGTGTTGGTCCGTGTCTCCTGTTGGTATGTGTGTCGTGTTGGTCAGTGTGTCGTGTTGGTCCGTGTATCGTGTTGGTTCGTGTGTCGTGTTGGTCAGTGTGTCGTGCTGGTCCGTGTGTCGGGTTGGTCCGTGTGTCGTGTTGGTCCGTGTGTCGTGTTGGTCCGTGTGTCGTGTTGGTCTGTGTGTTGTGTTGGTCCGTGTGTCGCAGTGGTCACTCAGTGTGTTGGGGTGGTCAGTGTGTCGTGTTGGTCCGTGTGTCGTGTCGGTCCTTGTTGGTCCGTGTGTCGGGTTGGTCCGTGCGTTGTGTTGGTCCGTGTGTCGTGTTGGTCTGTGTGTTGTGTTGGTCCGTGTGTCGTGTTGGTCTGTGTGTTGTGTTGGTCCGTGTGTCGCAGTGGTCACTCAGTGTGTTGGGGTGGTCAGTGTGTCGTGTTGGTCCGTGTGTCGTGTCGGTCCTTGTTGGTCCGTGTGTCGGGTTGGTCCGTGCGTTGTGTTGGTCCGTGTGTCGTGTCGGTCCTTGTTGGTCCGTGTGTCGTGTTGGTCCGTGTGTCGTGTTGGTACGTGTGTCGTGTCGGTCCCTGTTGGTCTGTGTGTCGTGTTGGTTCGTGTGTCGCAGTGGTCGATCATTGAGTTGGGTTGGTTAGCAATTGTGTGAGTCACGTCCTTTATCTTGTTACATGATCTGTAAGCCACCTAATTAGTTGTGTCTAGCTAGGAAGCTCTCAATTTACAATTAAACAGAAATAACTTTCGGGCAGCTAAAAAAAGATCATGAACGAATAGTTCTATCCACGAATTTAAAATACGGTTTTAAACAATTATTTACAGTGTCAAACTACACCATACTCCCCCATCCCATAATTCTCCAACCTACACTTTCAAACCACGTTATTCATCGTTTTACCATCCCATATTGTAACTTTTTAAAAATCACAACTCCGTGAAATCGTCGTTAAGACATTCCCCACCCTCCCCACCCCCTGCAAGTGTTAAGTATTGACACTGCACGCCTTAGTGCACTCTCATTACACCACGTGACATAGTTTAGTTAAAAATATTGCTTCAACTTACTACACCCTCTTTAGCAATTGGCTAAATTAATTTGGCAACAAGTTTGAGTTTTAGCCTCTTACCTGGCAACTTGAAGCACTTTGTTGATCCCATCCTTCATGTTGACTTGCTTCATTGTGTTGGTAATTTGAAATCTATTTGTCATACGCAACCACAATATAAAAAATATTCATCTTACAAATACGTGTAGTGTAAATAAACAAAACGTAAACATAAAGAAGGAACGACAACCCACCTTCTGCCCCTGTATTAAGTGTGGCATTTAATTCCTCATCAGATGGATGAAGTTTCTTCCTCTAAAGGAATTGGGTGGGGCGGATGTTTTTGGTACTGATTAGATGAGCACCATCATTTCTGATGCACCTGTTAATAGGACTTCGCTCACCTAGTTTGGATTTCAGCGTAGAATTAAGAATGGGGTTTAAATTTTAGACTGGGGTTTTTTAATTAAGATTGGAGTTTAGAATTAGAATTTGGGTTTAAATTTTAGATAGTAGCTTTTGAATCAAGATTTGAGTTCAGATTTTAGATTGAAGTTTTCGAATTAATATTGGAGTTTAAAATTAAATTGGACTTTAGATTTTATGTTGGAGTTTTTTAATTGGAGTTTGAAGTTTCTTCCTTTAGTTTGTATGAACTACAAATGCGACCAGTGTTTCTTTCAGACTTTTTCCTCCCCGGAGAGGGGTGGAGGTACTTGAAATTTTCGGGGGCGGGTGTAGAATTTTCTGGGAGGGGGCGGACACTGGAAAAAGTTTATAATTATATTTCGTTGAATGGGACGGTAGACATGTTTTGGGGTGTGTGTGTGGGGGGAGGGGAGGGGGGGGGGGGCAGGGTGGAGCCCCCTCCTCCCAAGTAGAGTTGCCTGAAACTCTAAATGTGACTTTTGTCATGAATGAGATTAGGTGCATCGTTTAGGGATATGCCTATGACTATATGTTGTATAAAGTACCGATTCTGGATAAAAATCCGTTTTCAATGTCATTTTTCGTTTCCGGTTAAATTTAATTAAGGTGGTGATTTTGGTTTTGGTTTTAGTTTAGAGAAAATAGACAGCACTATCAACCTCGCGCCCGTTGTATCCTTTCTCAACGGGCCATTTTTCTCGTGTTAACATGTTTGTACTGTTAATATGTGAGCTCATCCTTACCTTATTATTATTATTTGTTTCACGCTGACACCTTACGTTATGTAAGTCGACCAGCTGGGCCCCACGTGCTTTTATTTTAAATTCTCACACAACTAGATACTCACACATGTAACACACCTGTACCGACACACCTGTACCTACACACCTGTACCGACACACCTGTGACCTACCTACCTCTACTCACCAGATTAACCCAAACAGCAAGGCGTTCTACGAGGGTCTGCAAGTGGACGACACAATTGTGGCCATCAATGGCCAACAGATTCACGGATTAAATCACAACGAGGTCCAAGCACTCATCAAGAACGCCACCACAGGAGCCTTAACTCTTTTACTGCAAAGGTGAGTCGGTGTGTGTGTGTGTGTGTGTGTGTGTGTGTATGTGTGCATCTGGTGAGTAGCTCAGGTAAGGTTGTGAAGACTGAGACGAATCGTTGTGTCAGCAGTTTTTGTTACGTAGATAAATGTTTGGAACAGTTTCCACAAAGCATTGTGTAGCCGAACATTGAGTCTGTTGTTGTTGTTGGTGATGGTGTTGTACAGTTGTTTACAGAAAACTATTTTATTACAAAAATGCAAACTTTTAGAACATGCACATTTAACGCCACTAAAAACAAAACGTTATGTTTAAGCCTTATCTATATTTTGTAATGTTTTGTCGTCCCCCCCCCCCCCCACCCTTCTTGATGTGTGATGTTGTGGTGTGTGTAAAAATTGTTCTATTTTCACTGTCCCTGAATAGGTCTTATCTTTTTAAAGTGCAGTGTTCACTTATCTTTATCGATCGGTCTATGCACATCGGTACGGTACAACATGACATTCTCGCATGGATATCTCAGTTTACTTGTCAGTTTAATGTAGCTTTTTCTTGAACGTCTTTTGAACTGCTATTGATATCACTTTTGCTCAACTTTGTATATTTAACTCAACCCCCCCCCCCCCCCCCCCGCCCCTACAAATAGGCAGTCACTCTGTTCATTTATTAAAATTCCCACGCGGTTGTCGCACCTGGCTGTTGCTAACATACTTGTTAGTTAACAATTGACTTGTTAGTTAACAATTGACTTGTTAGTTAACAATTGACGGTTGAAAAAAAATTACGAACATTCATGCTTGGGTGATTTTACAGGGGTGAATTTTATCGGTTCACTGATGCGTGTCATGCCATGTGCTGTATGATGGTGCCCAGTGCTAATTGGGTAACACATGTGTTTTACATTAACATATTCGTTACAATTAGCAACATATACGAATTACACACAGCAACACATTTGGTTTAGACTGTTATACCCCTTCAAAAAAAAAAAGAAAAACGACTTAAGTGTGCAATAGTGCCTTTTGTAGAATGTCCCTAAGATTTGAATGTCAAATTGGGTCTTGTGTAGAAGGTCCCTAAGATTTGAATGTCAAATTGGGTCTTGTGTAGAATGTCCCTAAGATTTGAATGTCAAATTGGGTCTTGTGTAGAAGGTCCCTAAGATTTGAATGTCAATGTGTTGTAGTGATTGGGGATTTTTATATTATTTAATATAAATACAATACTACGCTATACACCATAGATCACTATTGTGTATTTCTATCACGGAAAACATTTGTTCTGACTTTTATTGTTTACTCTCCCTGGCCATTCCGGTTGACTTTAAGGAGAGGTAAAGAGAAGTTTTTGAAAATATTTGAATTGATAAAATTATCTTCAACGGCTTATATTCGATACAAAAATATAAATCGATTTAATTTTTATAAATGTAACTATAATTTTATTTCTTGCCATATTTTTAAAAAGATTTTCTCAAAAAATTGTGTATGATTACACTGACTTTTCATGCCAATTGAAGGTGTATAATTACATTCTTTTTCAACATATCAACCTCTCATTATATCAATACCCAAAGGTAGACGATATAGGGCGCTTGTAACGCAGATCAACATTCAGCATGCTACAAACATGCGCGAGATGACGTCAGTTTCCTGTGGACACGCCCACACCCAGTATTTGATCTCACCGTTAGAAGTCTTTGAGAAAAATGGTGTACTTTAAATGGTGGTTGGTGTAGTGTTCTGTGGTTTTTCAGTGGTATTTGGGGTGGGATTTCTCATTAATCATTGGGGGTTTGTTCTCTCATATTCATTGTGGTTTTCCTCTCAAAATCATTGGGGGTTGTCCTCTCAATAGTCGCTGGAAAAATGCCCTCTGTATAATAACTCTGGCGACATCTTTGTAAATTTGGAGCAAGTGTTACTAGAAGTTTTGTTTTGGTACAAGTCATTCGTCATGAGATGCTTCAAGTCACCAATGACTCGTCTGTTTTCCCATGACTTTAGAATCTGCCCCACTACTTTATAAATCATTCAGCTCCACACAAACAAGTGGTTTTGGTTTCAATGTTGTCTTCTTGTCAGGCTAGTCAGCGAATCACGTGATTCCCGTAACAACCACTATCTGTGACCACTACTCATTCTGGCGACTGGCGAAAGTTTTCAAAGATTGTACCAAAATGTTGACCAATGGTCGGTCAATGTTTATTAACCCTCGTCTCTCAGTCAGTAATTTACCTACTGTCGGTCAGTATTTTACCTACTTTCGGTCAGTATCTTAACTAATCACCTGTTAACCTGTTCATCTACCTGCGTTTATCTACCTGTGCCATGACCATGACGTCTTGTCCACCTGAACTCAGGCCTCCAGTACAGCAGACGTACACCAAGAGCACCAGTGTACATCTAATTATAAACCAGACAGTCACCAATCGCTTGCGTACGTTATAGGCTTGCACCGAACCAGACTTTCAAAAGCCGTAAATAGGCCCAGTGAATGTTCTCAAGAATTTGTCACGCTGTTGACAGGGTTCCACTTGACTGACCCTGAATCCATGCTCAAGTGTGGGACTAGTTTTCATGCTTTAAATATGAAAAGAATTAATAGTGGCGTGTGTGATGGGCCGTCACACCTTAGGCACTCGAAGCTTAGCTGTACAAGAAACCCTGTAGGAATAAATACGTCTTGTTTACTGGTAGCAGTAGTCCCAGAACTAATAAACCTCTAACATTGCTAACCTATAAAATGGTCGGTTGACTGAAATGACCGGAAGCGGCCTCCCCTTACCTGCCTAACTGCTGTGTTACGTCACCTCTGTTGTTTTTACAAGCGGAAGTAGCTGACCATGTTACAATGGATGTTACCGGAAGTAGCTGACCATGTTACAATGGATGTTACCGGAAGTAGCTGACCATGTTACAATGGCTATTGCCGGAAGTAGATGACCATGTTACAATGGCTGTTACCGGAAGTCCATGAATGCATGCACTTTTGCATTAGAGGTCCAGTTCTCGAAAAATTGCCTGGTGATAAGAGAAGGAGTTGTTCGTTCAATCAACATTAGCCTTCACGCATTTTGTTTGGTTCAAAATGTTAATGTCGGGTTGTCTTGTTGTCTACACGTTTCTGTATGGTTGTCCAATCTTTGTTGATGGGCTGTGACAGTAGCAAACAGTGGAGGAGGACGGCGAAATTTATTTATAGCTTATTGCTCGTAGCTGACCTCTCTCAGCTGACCCCGACATCTTTTCGCCGACCTTTATAAGTTAACGTGCTAGCTGACCTCACCTGTGTGAGGACTCCGTCACGCCCCATAGACCTGCTTGTGCTGTAGCTTACAACATAGAATCTAACAATACACAACTAACACACACACACACACATATGTAGGTATGTCAGAACACCCACCACTTCCTGGTTCAAGTAATCATACACACAACAACCAATCACTCCAACCAATCACTCCAACCAATCAACCTAATCAATCCGCCTTTAAGATATCGATTTCTCCTCGTTATCGTCACGCTGCATGATCCCCAGCCATCGATCACATCGGGACATATCCTGGATCATAAACGGATTGACCTTTAGTGTTGGCCGTCTGCCTAAGGTGAGCGGTGTCTTGGTGTTTCCTGTGGAATCACAGCAACAATCTCTGAGGAAGTTGGGACTAGATTAGAGATCTTCTCCCCATCTATCTACAGCTGATGGCACCCTGCCCTTTTACGTGACTCTTTATCTTTACTTAAACAAACATCAATTTATGTTCGTGTGTGTATCACTGTATGTGTGTGTGTGTATCACTGTATGTGTGTGTGTATCAATATGACACCGATATCCATATAACATCGAAGCATAATACGCTTCACTATGTAAACGAGGTTTTACCTGAGGTAGACGGGCTTTAGTTGCTTGAAATACTCCTTCTATCATCTCCGTGTTTATTTTTAAAGCCTCGATTCCTCTATGAAACTGTGATAGCACCCAGCTCTATCACGCCCTAGGTCGTGGTAAAAATCCCTTTCATCTCTGTTGTGCCATAAATTTATGCCACACTTTTGAAATCAAAACAACGCCCCCCTCCCCCGCTTTACACGGCTCCCCCAGCGGTGTAAACGATGTGTTCGACTCCCTAGGTAAAAGAATCTCTCCCCGTTGCGCACCGCCCTTGGTAACTGGTTGCAGATGATGTAACGAAAATGTCACCGATCAGACCAAACTGCACCGGTGCGCACCGTTTGTTGTGGCAGTTGTGACGTCAGTCTCTCTCGGCGTGCTTTTTATGGCGTCATGTTGGGAATTTGATGTCGTCATTCGTGGCGGCGTTACCCACTTCCGGAACAGTGTCTCTCTTAATGGAACCGTTAGTCAATTGGCTTTTGACTGGTGCTTGAAATATTATATTTCTACCCGTTGATTATGGCGTATCTCCACCCCCAACAGAAAGTGAGAACGTTATTTTCATTGAAGATTTTTTGTGTAATATACCCGTTTAATCAAGAAAGGACATTTTATTATGAAATACATTCAACAACGTGCATTGATTCAAAACATCAAAATAATTGGCCCATATATAAATGTGAGAATTTTAGCTACCAAGACCTGACTAAAATTGTGTTGATAAAGTAAAATAAAGCTTATTCTCTATTCGTTTGTGGTTAATTTGTTCATTGTTTTTCAGAACTCATTTCGATTAAAAAAATGCAAGCAACTCCACGCCAATTCGTGTAATTCTGAGACTGTTGCTATTGTGAATATTCCTCTCATTCATAACTTATTTACAAAAGCTATAAAAACTTTAAAAAAAAAAAAACAACATTTAAACATCTTTAAAAAAAACTGTTGAAATTTTAAAAATAATTTATTGAAGCTAAATAAACATCTCTTATATCATGTTATATCGTAGCGATTCTCTCGCGCAAAAGTGGTTTAAAATAGTGTTTCAATTCAAAGTTGTTTTTTTCTTTCTTGAATCGTAATAATAATTGTTATTTGGTTCACGTTATAAAAATAAACGATATATAATAAAGTGTCACAAATGTGGTTAATCCATTTATTAAAGGAAACAAAAACGAGACAAAATCACACACACACATATTGAACCTATGGAGATCAAAATTATAAATAAATGCACCAAAAATCTTAATCTCTTACTAAATTCCTAAGTACAAAATCATAAGCTATTTGAACGCAAATGAAGTAAACCATCTATTTTTTAAAATGACTTTTCTTTAATTCAATATCAAAGAAAACTCATATACCTAGTCCACCTTCTAGTAGAAAATTTTTAGACGAGCATTTTCTCAGCAAAACTATTAAATGGTAAATCACTATATATATATATATATATATATATATATATATATATATATATATATATATATATATATAACTATATATAGGTAAATTTCAGTGTATTGCAATGTTAAAAGATGTGTTAAAATTGACTTTTGATGTAGTAGTTACTTCCCATTTATAATTTCAAAACAAATAAAGGGACAAAATTTATAACTATTTGCCAAAATGTTATTAAAATACAGATAATATATTTTATGGTAGCAAGAAATAAAAGTTAATTTATTATTTATTATTTTCCTAAAGCAGATATTAAAATTATTATTTCACGTTTTTCTCTACTCTTCATGATTTATAGATTTTAGAAAAATCATTCTAAACACAAAACATTAGCTGCACTAAATGCATAATATGTAGAGATGGAATTTCATCTAGAAAATATCATTTATTTATCTGGATTATTTTTGTAAATTTTAACTTCACGCTCTAAAGAACGACAGCCAACCTAATATAGACATGTGGCGAATGTCACTCCCTACCCCACAGCCTGAAAAAGTCATGTCATGTCACTCGTGTTAGCTCAGTTCCTTGACCCAACGGTACCGCCAACGTTGTCAACCCGACGGACGCTGCCCGCGTATAAAATAAAGTGTCAATCCTTATTTTTTTTTTTTACTAGATTTCTATAGCTCTTTACTTTAGCAAATATTTTTTTTTTACACAGCGGTGTCTGTATGCTAGACTGTGGTAGACATTTGATCTTTTCTATAGTTTAAACCAACATATCATTCACCATGTATGTTTTTATGTGTAATATTTATGGTAATATATAAATGTTAACATTTTTCGGGCAAACGGTCTTCGGGCAAGTGGCTCTGGGCATTTGTCCCATTCGGGCAAGTGTCCATTCGGGAAATCGGCCTTCGGGCAAACGGCATTCGGGCAAGTGTCTTTCGGGAAAACGTCCGGCTCCCCGTGTATATGTATGGTACCTACATATTAAGTTAGAGAAGACGATGTATTTGCCAGGATATTTCCTAAAATTCTCGTTAGCTGTAATGGAATCTTAGCGTCAAGCTGATGTTTACCTTCTATTTCCCGCTAGGATAAGATTGTGACAGTGAGGAATGATCTGCTCTGATTGATTATTGCATCAGGGCTCCTGGGGTTAAGTAGGCGTGGATAAGGTTGTACGATGGGGAGGGGGGAGGGGGGGGGTGTATTGGAGGGTCAGGTGGCTAGTCCATGTAGGTCAGTTGGTTCAGTCCATATATTGGTGGGTATGTTTGTAAACAAAATACCGTACCACTTTGTTGACACTGATACAACATAAATGCCCCCCCCCCCCCCCTCTCCCTTAATCTTACTCTCATTTGTACGTGGTAAATTACTGACGTAGTCACTGCTCTCAAGAATGTTCATCTCTGTGAAACTGGCTAGAGTTTAACACCACCACAACCATAACTGAGGTGCCACCGAAATTAAGGCTCAACAGAATTATACCTTCTATTTCAATTAGTTCAATCACCATTCAGAGATTTAATTAGTTCAATTACCATTCAGAGATACACTTTAATTAGTTTAATTGCCATTCATATTTACACTGTACTTAGTTTAATTACCATTCATAGCTACATCTCAGTAAGTTCAACTACCAATCACATATTTGACTCTACCATTAATTGTGCTGTATCCGCCCTGAAGGGTTAGTGTACTTTACATCGATATCTTCGAAAACTATTTTGAGCATCTGTTCCACTTAAGAATTTTTATGGATATACGTATATTATGTATATACAAACATAAAATATAAATAGTCCTAGTAAAAGTACATTCCACTCCCTGACATCCACTCCCTCCCCATCCCCCGCTCCCCAAAACTAAAACCAAGACAGCTACGGTTAAAGCAAACAACATGATATCTCGTGATTTTTCTGTTTCTATTTTTACCCCGTCAGACGAATGCACGCGCGGTTTAATTAAACCCATCATTAGCGCACCCCTTCCAATGACTAAGTGCTGCCACAAGGTACGAAACACGTGCGCCCCTCAACTTCCTCTTTTTTTCTACCTACCTTGTTTTTTTTTCTTCCTCAGAGATACCCACACAGTCAACGGGCACGTTAATGGTGCGCTGCCCCACCCCAAGGGGATCCAAGGCCCAGGCAGCTCCTTTGGATCAACAGGTAAAGCAATGGCCGTTTGCTCGGGTGCCGTCTGCTCAATGGGACGCCACCACGCAACTTTTAGCTCTGCTCTTTTTCTGCGCGCACCTTTTTCAAATTATGTCGTCATCTTGTTGTTGATATTTTCGTGTGTTTGGTGTATTTTCTGCTCTTTTTGTTGTAAATGCTCTGCATTATAATATATATATATATATATATATATATATATATATATATATATATATATATATGCATACATATGATCTCCGTGAAAGTAGAAAATATGTTTCTCTTTGTTTATATATTTGATATTAGAGTAATCTTTCTTTATCTGCTTTATGTTTGACGCCAGAGTAATATCCCTTTTATCCCCAGCTATTCGTCATCCAAAATATTGTTTTGGAACTCATTTAAAATAATTAGTTTAATTAACCAACTGCTTTTTTTTTTTAAATAAGGAGCTTGTAGCATTAATTTACTAATGGTAGTTCCTCACGAATTACATTTTTGGGTCAATGGTCATGGATAGTGGTGAAAGAGTTACGTCCAATATTAGCAGACTATAACTGTTGGTTAAATGCCCGCCAAATTGTTCGGCGTGATTGAGGCTAGTCTTGTGGCATGTTGGTTTATTAAGTGTCTGCTTCTTTGTTGGTGTTCTGTTCATAATGTATTTATGCACCTGTGGATGTGTGTGTAGATGTATGTTTCTGTATATGTGCGGTATATTTTTTAATGTATTTTTATGTTTATATGTATGTTTAAGTGTTTTTATGTATGTATTACACAGCAGGATACGACAATAACGTCGAAGGCTTGCTATATATTTGTTTAATTTGATTAGTTACCTTGAAAAGGCTTAATATGTCAATAACCATTAAATTATTACCCTACTGAGTTAGTTGTAAAGGAATACATTTTATTTTTTTAAATCCATAATTATCTATTCACTAAAGCAAATATTTAAAGCTTCACAAACAGTGCATGGATTTTATATTGAAAACGTAAACCCCCAACACTGATGTTTACTTAACTGGAATCCCCACTATATTTTGCCTAGTCCTATTTAGCTCCATACCTTTCATTACATTATCTCCTCCATGCTGTTTTATTATCGCAGGCTGAACGCTAGCTGAATCATTGTTGGCGTTAGCCAAATGTACAGAGATATAAAACCTATTTTATGTCTGTTTATGTATATGTGATGTTTACACACTCACAGCTGAGGTAGTGATGCTAACGCATTGCTAGCCTCCCTGTATATAGTGTATGTGAGCCAATAGCTAGTCTCCTTATAACTTTGGTAGCAGTGTATGTGAGCCCATAGCTAGCCTCCTTATAACTTTGGTAGCAGTGTATGTGAGCCCATAGCTAGCCTCCTCATTACTTTTGTAGCAGTGTCATGTAGAACCCATTCCCTGTAGTATTTGGTACTTAGAAATATTTTTGTCAGTCTTGTGTGACTTAAAATCACCTGCCAGGGTTAAAAGATATAACCCTCATATTTGATGATTTTTTTAACATGGGACTCGTCCGTACGCGTTATAAACACTGCAACCAAACACCCCACAAGTAACGCAACTCCATTACGCTCCCAGCACCCATATCCCCCAAAACACCTACTGAACAGACACTCATATCCCCCAACATCATTACGCACCAGATACCCATATTCCTCAACACCCATATCCCCCCAACACCCCTACTCACCCAACACACCTACTCAGCCAACACCCATATCCCCCCAACACCCCTACCCCCCCCCCCACACCCCTACTCACCCAACACCTATATCCCACCCAACACACCTACTCAGCCAACACCCATATCCCCCACACCCATACTCACCCAACACCCCTACCCCATCAACACCCCTACTCACCCAACACCCCTACCCCCACCCCCAACACCCCTACCCACCCAACACCCATATCCCACAACACCCATATCCCCCCAACACCCCTACCCACCCAACACTCATATCCCCCCAACACCCCTACTCACCCAACACTCATATCCCCCCAACACCCCTACTCACCCAACACCCCTACCCACCCAACACCCATATCCCCCCAACACCCCTACTCACCCAACACCCCTACCCACCCAACACCCATATCCCACAACACCCATATCCCCCTAACACCCCTACTCACCCAACACCCCTACCCACACAACACCCATATCCCACAACACCCATATCCCCCCAACACCCCTACCCACCCAACACTCATATCCCCCCAACACCCCTACTCACCCAACACCCATATCCCCCCAACACCCCTACTCACCCAACACCCCTACCCACCCAACACCCATATCCCCCCAACACCCCTACTCACCCAACACCCCTACCCACCCAACACCCATATCCCCCCACACCCCTACTCACCCCACACCCCTACTCACCCAACACCCATATCCCCCCAACACCCCTACCCCCCCCCCCCCAACACCCCTACCCACCCAACACCCATATCCCCCCAACACCCCTACCCACCCAACACCCCTACTCTCTAAACACCCCCACATCCTATCAACACCGCCCCACCCACCAAACACCTCTACACCCTATAAACACCCTCACACCTTATAGACGTCCTGTATCTCACCCAATCACCTAACCTGTTTAAAACATGCCGTCTTTTGACCCCATCTTGTTTTCACACTTGCAACTTGTGGCAGGACATTTTTTAAACAGCGTAATACATTTATTAAAACATGTTGATCCAGTTTAGCATTTAACCCCCCCCCCCCCCCTCCTCTTCCTTATCCTGACCCATATTCCTCACTCCTTGCTGATCACCCCCTCCAACCCTTGTTCCAGATACTCCCATTTCCTATTCCTTCCTATTTACTTTTATATATCCTAATAGGCCCTACAGTAGTATATTAGGTCGCTTTTGGAGCGTATTCCTGGCGGAGGTGGGGAGGGTGAGGAACAATGACATATAGTAAAATACTCGGGAGCAGGATGCGCGGGATGCGCAATGACATATAGCAAAATACTCCCAGCCTGGCGCATCGGGAGGGTAAGGGTGGGTGAGCAGGATGCGCAGGATGCGCAAAGACATATAGTAAAATACTACGCCAACTGGGGTTGGCGGAGGTGGTGGGGAAGTAGGTCACCTTTTGGTGACCTTGTGACGTAATCATTGACCTTGTGACGTCATCATTGACCTTGTGACGTAATTAGTGACTTTGTGATGTTATCATTGACCTAGTTACGTAATGTTAATGCGTTTTAATGAGTTTTAATGAGTTTTTTAAATTTTAATTAATTTTTTATTGACTAGTTACGTAATTTGATTATTTGTTTACTTTTTTAATTGTTTAATTTGTTGTTTACTTGTTGTTTAATTTAATTACTTTGTTTATATTGTGTAATTTTTATTAACGAGTTACGTAATTTGATTATTTGTTTACTTTTTAATTAATTTTTTATTGAGTAGTTACGTAATTGGATTTTAATTTTTTTTTGAATTTTTAAATTTTTAATTTTATTTTATAATTAGTTAAATTATTATTAACTAGTTACGTAATTTGATTTTAATTACTTTGTTCATTTGTTTATTTAATATATTTCTTTTCTTTGTTGTTTAATTTGTTGGTTTGTTTATTTGCTTGTATGTATGTTTTAAATAAAAGACTAACACTAACGTGGACTTTGTATAGGGACCATTCAGCAACACAATGAACGTTACAAAAATAGAACATCCATTTAACCACATCTGTTACTTATCGATCCGCAATCCTTTGTTGACACACGCCGCGTAGTGATTAATGGATATTATATCGATCGCACCCACGGGACCATCACACCTAATTAAATTGGTTATGCTTCACCGCTTTTATGCGTTGTTCGCCGACCCGATTCCACCGGGGGGTATGGTAATTAACGCAAAGCCAGCGTTAAGTGTGGGAACATCTGTTACCATGACACGCGCATCGTAGTGATTAATGGGTATTATATTGATCCAACCCACGGGACATCACAGCATGATGTCCCGCCTAATTACATTTATTATTATGCATCAGTGATTTTTCCCCGCTCGGTTTGATAGGTCATGATGATTAATGGCTTTTTTCCCTGCTCGGTTGACGGGTTATGGTAATTAACAACGTACATTAAGTAGCTTTCCGCGAAGCACTTAGGTCATTATGCAACAGCTGCTGTGTAACAGCTGGTGGTGTAATTAGGCCGAGCGACCGTATAAATGACCGCGAAAATTGTGTTCTAATCACTTCAACTTCGGACTTCAAATCAAGCGTCACAGCGACTTATCCTGGATGAGACCTCTGTTGACTCCTGAGACTAACTCACGTCAGTTTTATCAACCATCACATCTACCTAACCCTCCACGGACCACATCTTTTGTGCGTGTTTATTCTATTAAAGGTAAGGTTAATATTACTTTTGTTTTAAGGGAGCTAACCCCATTAAAATCAAAACTTATTAAATAAGTAGTCACAGGTATTTACTTTTTGTATCATACACCGAGGTAAGGTTAATATTACTTTTGTGTTAAGGGCGCTAACCCCCATTCAAATACCTTTTAATCAATTACTTTACTTTTTGTATCGCACACCGAGGTAAGGTTAATAGTATGAATTATCCTTTACATATCCTTTAAATAAATATGTATCTAAATAAGTAGTCAATTGAATTTTCTTTTTAGTGTACAACCGACCCTACGAGACAGACTAACCATCCACTGACCTATTGAGCTACCTACCCAGCCCTGAGGCATCCACTGAACCAAAGATCCAACGACATCCAACTACACCACTTCGGATCTCCACATACAGTTAACTTCACGTTCAGCTTAGACGTGCAAACCCATAGGTACGTTTCATTTTCAATTTTATTTTAAGTATGTTTTTTTTAAGTTATGTATTTTATTTTATGTAATTCTTTTTATTCTACAGCCAGCGACACCCCATCAACAACCAACAGACAAACACACCAACCCACATCTGTGACCGATAGTCAAACCCTCCAACCCACATTAGTGACCGAC